AATTTGTTCTTGTACGGCTTTGGGCAGGTAAGACCATACAGCTAAATAAACATACTTTACTTCAATTTATTTAGTTATTCCCTATTATTTCCCTCCATTGGCTATTTGGTTCCACTAACTTTGCATCCATTTTTACCTAAACTTCTGCTTTYCTATAGWATCTTATACCAACTGGGTCTTCCTTAACAACGTGTGACCATTAAAGTAGGCCCAGTTTATTTTCCTATGTATTTTTCTTTATGCTATCATCTTTAGTTCTTCAGCTTTTCTCAGGAACAATGTTTAATTCCATATATTATAACTGTGTTAACATTAATTAGTAATAATTACAATCCTTAAAGTTCCTCATAAATGGCGCTTGAGCAAACAAACAWATATTTATTTACAGATTGTTATCATGTTAGTATTTTTGTTTTCATGACATTATCTTAAGTTACTRCCTATAGTTTACACAGTTCTTCATTAACTTTGAATGCTAATTTCTTGATATTTATTAGTGTAGCGAGCTGTGACTAAGTCTATTTAAGTTAGTGGTATCATCTGTCTTAGATAATTCCATCTGAATTGACAATAGACATACAGCGCCGTAGCGGTGGGTCAATCTGCCCAGTTAATAATTCTGATAAAAATTTAAGGTTAGCAGCACGTTTACCAGTGAATCAAGTTTGAGGTATTTGATAACAGGTAAATAATTATGGTGAAGACATACAATCTTKAGTACATGACTAACATGTTTTCAAAATGTATTTTGAACTCGCTCAAGTATTATTGCRTTCTGAGCAGTATTAGGGTCCYAGATGACAGAGCCGTATTCAAGAATTAGGCCTAACAAGTGAACAGTACAGGGCCTTAAGTGGAGACACTAGTTTGTACTCTGTTGTCATGCGTTTAATTAAAGTTTAAAGGACAGAGAACAAAACCATCTATGACAGAATTATCAAGTGATTGAAGATTAGTCCCATGAATTACATGTTTAAAACTAATTGGAGATTTAAGATAATATGTAAAATTCATATGATGACATTTAGCAGTGTTAAAATCCGGTCCTAGCTTGTTGAACCATGTTACAAAAATGCATTTAGTAAATCTTGTATGACAATGCAGTCGTTTAGAGAGTCAATATGATTGAAAAGTTTTACATCAACCGCAAACACTAAGAGCTGTACGTGTTTTAAAGAATGGCTAATAAATTATAAATCAATGTTACTGTTCTTTAGTTAATGATAAATTGAAAAACTAGAATTGTTTAACCCAATATTGTATTTAAAAAAAAAAAAAAAACATTTTCATTTTTAAATATATAAAAATATAATTTACAAAACCTATCAATACACGTTGCAAGATAAATTTCAATGCTTGTAAAAAATTCAAAATGAATTTAAAAAAAAAAAAATTATGTCTTCCTAAAATATGAATTTCATTAAGCCAACTGTCCACAAGAACCAATTATAACTTTCTCAGTTGGTAGGCCAGCTTTTGTTCCACATTTCTCTATTTTCTTCATAACATCAATACCACTTAACACATGGCCAAATACAACATGCTTATCGTCTAACCATTCTGTACGAGCCATGCAAATAAAAAATTGTGAACTATTTGTATTTGGACCAGAATTAGCCATAGATAAGACTCCAGGGCCTGTATGTTTAAGTTCAAAATTTTCATCATCAAACTTTTTCCCGTAAATCGACAGTCCACCTGTGCCATTGTTATTAGTTATGTCACCACCTTGACACATAAAATTTGGAATAATCCTATGAACCGTGGTGTTTTGATATCCAAAACCTTTTTCATGAGTACACAAACAACGGAAATTTTCTGCTGTGCGTGGCACAATGTCAGCTCGCAACATGATAATAATTCGACCAGCATCCTTTTTGCCAATTTTAATATCAAGATAAACTTGTGGGTTCTTTGCCTCGTCTTTGGTCTTGTCCTCTTCAATTTTTTTATCGTCTTTTGGTTCCAGTGTCTTACCAGCATACTGTACAAGCCAGTCATCTTCCGACCAAACCGGTCTAGTTGAGCCTCTGTTGATCTTCTGTGGTTTTGCTAAATTCACGCGGATGGTGCGACCAAATATCTCTGCTTCATTCATGTTGTCAATAGAATCTAATGCATCTTCGGGTTGTTCGAATTCAACAAATGCAAATCCCCGGTGTTTCTCAGATTCATAATCTAATGGCATCTATATTCATGATAAATTTAAAAAATGATTTAAGTCGCATTTATTAAAGAAAACCAATGCAGATCTATAGATCAAACTTTATCAAAATATTAAACRTTACCTGGACATCGACTATATCACCAAAAGGAATGAATGCAGATCTTAATACTTTTTCGTCTACTTCTTCAGCTAATCCACCAACATAAACGGTGCGCTTCAAATACGACTTGTAAGTATCGGCGTCATTCATCTTGTTAGCAATTATTAATTATCTAACGTTCTTATTTTCTAAAATTGTATAACTTAATAACTTACAACTAAACGAACAACAGTCAAAAATAGAAAACTGTCTTCGAAATTGTCTAAGTACTTGGCCGGTATTCTGTAATCAATATCGTTATCATTCATCAAACTAAACAAAATAAATATAACAATAATATTATTAGGTTATGATTATTTAAAAAACATCTAAAATCAGAATAAACACTGGAAAATGCCAAATCGGAATTAATTTTAGATAATAAATATAATAAATCATAAATTTTAAAATATATATTTTTATTTTTCAAAATTCAAACAATTCTAGGGATGCCGGAAAATAATTTTTTTCGTTTTTCTCACGATTATAACCATCCAGATTCCAGGGATTATGGACTATATTTCACACCAACAAGTGGCCAATTTAGACAATAATTCAGCTTGTATAAAAATATTATTAAATAATATTCATATTATTCTATATTTGGATATTTTGATTTTTATTAGGTGATAATATCCATGATTTAAAATACTATTGTCTTTGTATCGTCAGTCATATCACAGAAAATATGTTGTAGACATATCGTGATTATATTAGAACTGATAGTAAACTGTCTGCTGATTACATAAAGATTTGAGTTATTCGTAGGAATATATAATTTTCTATTCTGTATTACTAGAACTTATAGTTTTGTGTGAGTTCTTTCCGCCTTTTCACAATTTTCCACTGTGACCATGTCTCGACAGAATACAAGATTAGACGTTAAGAAAGTTGTAAGTATTAGTTGTTTCTTGTGATAGGTACCAAATTATTTTCATTTTAGAATTTGATATTATTTATAATTTATACTAAATTAAAACTTATTACTTATCTTATTGTTAGCTAATATTAGTACTTATAAATTTTTTATAATTTTGGATTGCACATTGCTGCTCAAAAGCCATAAAAAATATCTAAACTATTATGAAATGTCCAAATTGTATTATTTTAACTATTTAATATCAAAAAATGAAAATAATATATTTGTTTTACTTACAATTCAGGCTATTAAATATTTTGTGGGACTTTTTTTGCCTTGCTTATTTTATCTATAAATGATAGTTCTATGATTTTATCATAAGGTCTGGTGACTTAATTTAAATAAAATGATTTAAATGTTTAACTGTTATTATTTTTCCCAACAAAAGAACAAACTTCTAAGTAGTGTTTTAAAGTATAATACATATTTTATTTTACTGATAAAAAAGTTGACATGAAGCCAAAAAAAACTTTGACGTTCAAAGTTCAAATTCTATATTAAATACACAATATCAAATATACACTATTTTAGACAAAAATTAAGTTTATCAATTAATTGTTGTCCCAAATAATGATAAATATCTATTAAATATAAAATTTTTTCAGAACTCAGAGTTGTTTACGTTAACATATGGAGCCATAGTGTCTCAATTGATGAAAGACTATGAAAATGTAGAGGATGTAAACAAACAATTGGATCGAATGGGTTATAATATTGGTGTCCGTATGGTTGAAGATTTTTTAGCCCGTACTAATGCTGGAAGATGTTATGACTTAAGAGAAACCGCAGATAAAATTCAGGTTAGAATTGTGTTTATATTTTAAAACGTTTTATTTCCTAATTTTGTATTTTAAGATTACTAAGCTTTGAAGTGTTCGTATTTATCAATACTTTGTTTTAGTATGCATTTAAAATGTATTTGGGTATAACTCCAGCTTTAACTAATTGGAGTGCTGCTGGAGATGAGTTTTCCCTAACATTTGACACTAATCCACTAACAGAATTTGTGGAACTACCAGATAACTATCAAAATCTCAAATATAGCAATATACTTTGTGGAGCCTTGAGAGGATCGTGTGAAATGGTATTTATGATATTATAATGTTTAAAATAAGCATGTGTGGTACCCATAGTTAAACATAATTATAGGTTAGATACTCGGTAACAGATTTTTAGAATTCTTTAATTTCTTACTGTATAATAAATATAAAAATAAAATAGATTTAAGTATATTTATTATTTGTGACAGTTGAAGAAATCTAATTAAATTATTTCATAATATAATCAAATACTACTTAGAAGATATTTGTAACTTGGTATAAAACATTATGCTTTGTCAGAATTATATTGTAATTATACAAAACAATTTTTCTTTATGTTATTWAACTGTATGAAAATATTCTCTGTAGTTTAATTTTCTTGCGATTTATTATAATAAGTATAAATACAATTAAATGTKTTTTAATTAGTTGTTATATGTTTAGGTACAAATGGATGTGTCTTGTTGGTTTGTGCAAGATCAACTTAAAGGTGATTTGGCCACTGAATTGCGAATAAAGTTCAACAAACGGCTAGAAGACGCTATACCTGCTGGAGAAGACTAAATTGACTCTGACTTATCTGTAAATTAAATAATATTATTATAATATATTATGTTTTATTTTATTTTTTACTTTATAATACTATCTCATATACTTGTTATCATATAAAAATAAATAGTATCTAAAATTACTTTTATTTTCATTATTTGTTGTTAGATTAGTTGATGGCATTTCGTCATCACTTTCACCACCGCTTTTTGTTTTAACTGAGTCACTATCAGACTCATGAGCATCATTCTTTTCTGTACTACCAGTGGCTATTAAATAAGCCTCCCATTTCTTTAAGCGTTCTTCAGTTTCTTCAGGTGTTTCAATGACTCTAAAGTAAAGTAAAAATGTATTAATTATAATTAAAAATGAATTGATTTTAAATTATTTTAATATATTATACACACTTGTATTTAGTTTTTCCATCCCATGTTTCAGCAGTAATCTTTCTTTGTCCAAACCACCGATTATTTAATAGTAGCACGCAAGCATCAGMTGCATCAGGTTCTTTGAAATTAATCTGCGCAACGCCCTCTGGATGTCTCTTAAAATAATAACAGTAAATAGTTGATAATTATATTTATAAATAAAAAGTTTGAAAATATCTCATGTCGTAATCAGAAATAGGGGAACAGCTAGGAATCACAAATATTTTAATACCCCTGCCTGAAATTGTCTTATTTATTTGACCTTGGATACATGATGGCTGATGAGTGCATCTGAAAATGCTTTAGTAAAATTCCAAATTTAGTTTAGCCATTGTAAACCTGTAATCCATAGACATCAGCCACCAGAGGTAAAATAAAAAAAAAATCATTTATTTTCTAGTTTCTGTGGGACCAAGATATCAATATATTATTATACTTCTACATCTTTTTTATTTGATTGGATATAATACATATCACATAAGACAAGTATAATTTGAGTTTTGATAGAACTATTATTAATACATGGAACAAAGTAACATCAACATAACAATTTGAATAAAAAGAAAACTGTTATAATTATTATAATATACTTACATCGTACACAATTACTTTTTTCACAATGCCACACTTTGAACATTCCTCCCTTAGATCTCTTTGATATTCTAAGAGCAATGATACATCATTGTCAAATGTTTCTTTTTCAAACAAATTTTTGACGATCACAACATTTTCATGTTTTCCTCTTCCACCCATTATTTTATCAGGCCTCCAATCAAATAACCTTTAAGAGAAACAGATAAATTTATATTTAAAACAYATTATTCATTTTTAATGTAAAATTATTGTTTATCACGTGAAATGGAAAACATTAGGTACTTTTCTTGAATTTTTTTGATTTTTTCCTTATCTTTTCGCTTTTTCTTTTTTGGTTTTAACGATGGGTCGTATTTTTCTCCACGCATTGTAAATTTCGCCTTTTCCACGCATATCTCTTTACCTCGAAATATGTAACCGTCTAACAACTTCAATGCTAGATCCACTGATTCTTTCTAAAAATGAAGAACGGATAATAACAATACAAATCATATTCATAAAAACCGCTGTTATATTAATAGTGAAACAGCGTGTTTTGTTCCTATAGTCATAAGTTATAAGCGGCGTCATTGAAATTTAAAAGTTTAAGGTCGTCCTAAAGAATTTGTCATGTTATTTACTGTCAATAGTGAACGTTTATGATGCCATCGTGTACAAACGCAATGAATAATAAAGTTATTACCCAAGTATTGCGTTCATATACGATGGGATCATAAGGCTAATAAGAATATAATATGAATTATGATTAACATTGGAACTTGTCTAAAATAATAAATAATAACGTCATAGGTAACTTAATATATTGACAGATGACTGGTGGAAATAATTGTAGGCCTGAGATCCGTATGAGGCACTTTATAAAATCAAGAACAAATTTGACCTTGACATTCTATGACAGCCWWCGTGCAATTGAAATGGTGTAATGTCAGTATATTATTCCAGTCTATTTAAATACTTATTCGTCGACTGAGCTTTGCCGGAGAAAATTAAAAACATTCAAAGTTCGAATTGGGTAAATGTTTGAGAGTTAAATTGCTGTTTTGAGAGATGACACTAGGCTGAATAGCAAGATCGTGGCAAATAAAATAACGATTTTCCGCTCAAGATAAAAATAGAACACCACTGGGTCATCATATAATTAGGTATAGGTAAATAATATTGTAATTCATCTCAATATAATGGGTAGCCAAGTAGATTATTACTATTAATATAGGTAATCAATAGTTTAATGTACCAAATTTTAATAAAAAATGAATAATACTGTCGGATGAACTTTGATAAAGGCTGAAAAACTTGTTGGGAACTTTTTATTAATTTTTCAATATTTAGATGTATTTTTTCAACATTTGAACTTTTAATACATGAAAAAATAATCATGCCAATATATCTTTAATATTTTTGAACTGTTATTAAAGCAACTTATGAGAACATTGGATTAATTGTCCAAGTTTTTT